CTCAGTGATGATTATAACAAAATGCTTTTAAGAAATCGGATTTGCATAGCAGTTTAGTTGGGAAGAATTATCAAATCAGTCAATGCCCTGAGGATAGCATAAGCAAAGGTGCTTTTTATCTTTGAACCCCCTGAATTTGTTTCTGAGAGTTTTCTGAATGACAAGCAGGTAGGAAAATTTCCAGCTTCTCCAGTATACTTTGCATTTACTGAAAACCTGTGGATAAGTCCTGAGTGAAGATTAGAACCATGTGGGTTACGAGGAGGTAGTGAGAAGCAGTGCCTTTATTAAAACTCACTTACTATGTTCCAGGAAGTAGGCAGTAAGTCATTATTTGCCAAGGACACACCATAGGTGAAGACAGGATGTTAGTCCATAAAGTGTGCATAGCATTTAGATATTTGTGCGTAAAGTAAAATAAAAGTATATATGTAGCCCTGGCCTGGGTTGCTAACTGGTTAGAACATCAGCCCAAGCACTGGAGTGTCTCGGATTTGATTCCTGGTCAGGGAAGTACCTGGGTTTTGGGTACATTCCCTGTCCCCGGTCAGTTCATGCAAGAGGCAATCAATCGATGGATGGATCTCTCTCACATCTTCCCTTCTCCCTTCCACTCTCTCTAAAAATCAATGGAAAAAATATCCTGAGTGAGGATAAAAAAAAAAAAAAAGTATACATGTAGATTATTCTGGAGGAAATCAAACATTTTTTTTAGTCTGCAGAGCCCCTAAGAAATCTACCCTTAAGACTCCTCTAGCAGAAAATGGGACCTGCATCCAGCTAGCTATCTAACAGAAGGCATCCTTCAGCCTGTTGGGGTCTGGGAGGCAGCCGGGGTCTCCCCAGTCCAGCAGTTTAGAAAAGAACCCTCTGAGGCTTTTATGGAATTGAGAGATGGCCATTAAGATACATATGAGCTTAGTGGACATACTGGTATATTGATAACTTTCTCTCCGCCGTATAGGCAAAGGAATTTATACACCTTTCTGACTTGCTTGTCTAAAATGTCCCAATAGGATCTTAGATGACTGAGAAATTCTATGTAGAAATTATAGTGTGGACAAATTAATCAACCAGCAATAGTAGTATGTGACATTATAGATAATGTCCCCGAGGGAGACATGAAGAAGTATAAAATGTGGCTTCTGCCCTTGGAGGAGTTTATAATGAAAAGGAGGCTATATGGAAGCTCCCTCTCTCCAAGCAGATTCCCAGCCTTCCTTTGTCCAATAAGGATAGGCCGTGTGCCATGGTTGAATGTTGGTCAACTCACCATGAGAAAGTCATTGGTGGAAACATGTCCTGTCACCAAGCACCCAGAGGCTCTGCTTAGTGCCCTTTCTTGCCATCTAGGAAGGGAGGAGGCAACATTTGTACTGTCATTCCTAATTAATTCTTTTCCTACAAGACATTTGCGCCCAATTGTAAAGAAATTGCATGGACTGTCAGTGTATAGTCACCCAGCTTTATTTATTTTTTACTTAACAAATATATTTTTATTGGTTTCAGAGAGAAAGGGAGAAGGAGAGAGATAGAAACATCAATGATGAGAGAGAATCATAGATCTATGCCTCCTGCATGCCCCATCCTGGGGATGGAGCTCTAAACCCAGGCATGTGCCCTGACTGGGATTCGAACCACGATCTCCTGGTTCAGAGGTGGATGCTCAACTGCTGAGCCAGGCCTGCCAAGCACCAGTTTTATTTTTTATCCCAGCAACCAAATTTGGAGAATTTATGTTTGTTGGTTCTATATCTGCAATGGAGCTACATCCTTAGAATAATATCACAATAGAGAAATAACTTTGAAATGGGTTAGTCCACATAACATTCTGATTGCCTTTATTTAGGGGCAAATCACAAGCTAAAAAGAGTTACATATCAGATTTGAAAACAGTTAAAAATCAACATAATAAAAGGAGAAAAAAATATAACCTTCTAAATCTTAATTTTTAGCCATAGAATTATAGTTTCTTTATTCATTAAATAACGTTTTCTGCCCCACCTATTTTTCTGTTTGGAACTCTCACATGGATTAGGAGAATTGCCAAATATCTATGAAATGAGAGCCTTTCCTCCCACCCTTTCCATCCCCCATAATCACCCAAAACAAATTAGACTGAGAAAGTCACCCAGCTCAGCCCAAGAGTTAGGTTTGTGTGGCCCTAACACAAGAACTCTGTGACTGAGAGAGGTCTCCAAGGCAGGTAAGGGGAGAATTAGATCAGCCAGAGTATAGGCCTTTTGGTAACGTTTCCTAGAAATAGGGAGATAACATTACAAACTGCTGGCATTCGTTTACAAACTGGCTATGAAAATAGCAAAACTTCAGGAGCATTAACAGAGCCACAAGTAGAACTTGCTGTTTATTGTCCCAGAGGTTGGCTTTCAGGAAGTTTGAGAAAGGACCAGATTTGAGGCCATTGCTTTCATGATTTTTAAGTCAGCCTCCTGCTACATCCAGAGAAGACTATACACACCTATAAATAGAGTATTATTATTGCTTTGGTGGCATGCAGAAAGAACTTTTTTTTCTTTGTGGGAGTATGCCAGATAATGTGTGCTGGGAGGAGTGGCTGTGTAAAACCAGGCTGGGCTGTGGCCGTGCCTGTATGCCCAGAAGACTTACTTTCATCAGTTAGCTCCTTCACATTTGTCAGAATTTTGAGCTTCTGCTCATTCCTATCCCACTTGACCAGGAATGGGACCTAGTAGGAGCAGGTGAGCCATCAGAGCAAGGGGGACCATGTGTAACAGGGGAATTACCAGCGTTTCTATGGTCATGAAGCAACATGTGCCCAGCTAATTACTGTTCTCTGCCACTGCTCTCACCTCTTGAATGGCCCAACCACAGAAATCCTGTTTGTCTGCCTCCCACCCTCTGGCCCAAAGAATGAAAAACAGTAACTTGCAAGGCTGGGCTTGTTTAATGAATGCGATTTGTTTTTGTTGAGCCAAGGAAGCAAGGTTTCTGAGGCTGTAAACTTGATGCTAGATTTGTGAATGACTCCATGTCCTCATCTTTAGATAAGTCCAAAGGGTGTGTCTGCACTTGCTGGATGATAACCGGTCCAAAGGCATTTTTCTTTATTTTTATAGGCTCCTACCTTTAATGGCAGGCGAGGCCATCTTCCTGGCTTCCGGCAGAGCTATATCTAGCATGGTGACATCTGAGCATCTTTTGTGCTAATAAGAATGTCCTCAACATGCTGCCTCCTCCTGTGGTGATCCTGGTCTTTCCCTTAGTAACTGCTGATGTTGGAAACTATGGCTCTTTCTGTTGTTCGTTTGTTTTTCTTATAGAAACAACAAGTTATCTTGCACTCTACTCTAGAGTAACCATAGAGTTTGGTAATACCTTTTCATTTATTTATTATTAGTGCATTCAAAACCAAACAGTTTTGCCTTCTTTATAGTAAGCTGAACTTGCCCTCACTCCCCACCAAGAAAACCTTAGTTTTGTCAAGAAAGATGGAACATCACGTTTTCAAAGTGTGTAACAGGAGGTAATCTGAATAGATGTTTTGGCGTGGCCATGGTTTCTTTGAGTGACTACTTGAATAGATTAGTTCGTAATAAATTATTATTACTTAGTATTACAGGAAAAATAAAAACAAAACACACAAAAAACGCCTGAAAATAGTTTGGTTCTCTGGAGAAAGAAACTTTCTGTCCATGGTTAGTAATACTTTCCATATAGATGCAATTGCCGGATAATGTTACCCAAACTAATTAATGATGACATATTAGTTAACATATTGCCATCAGCAGGTGGCTATCTGAGCAGAGGTGAAAATGGCATGTGCTCAAACAAATGGCTGTGCCCTTGAGAAATGTATACAATTGTGTGTGTGTATGTGTGTGTGTGTGTGTGTGTGTGTGTGTGTGTGTGTGTGTTTTAAAGAATCTTTGTACTGATGCCTGGAATACGAGTTATTTTTATAAAGCACAAAACTGGTGGCAGGTAGGAAAGATGCAGGCTAGAAAAACAAAAGAAAGCAAAATTGGTCCCACCTTTTCCAAAAGCATTTCCAATTAAAAATAAAAACAAAAACCCAGAGAGAGAACAGTTGAATCTACCAGCACAATTTGCTTGTCCTGTCAGAATCTTGGGAAAGACTCGGGTGTCCTCTCTTCCTTCATCCTCTCCTTTCTTCCTCTCCTTTGTCCATGTCAGAGCTGTCAGGGGCGTCTTGGCATGGGGCATGGCTGTGACAGATGGGCAGGAAACTCTAATCTGTTGCTGTCTTTCGCTTTCAGAGGAATCATTGTGACAGTGAAGGGGTTAACATGGTCAACACCTATCAGAGTTTGCCGACAATTAGTGTAATCTCAATCCCAGAACACTGACACAGATGACCACACAAGGTTGCATTCTACAAGGTTCTGCTTTGGAAGAAATCCTTCTTAATCTTTTCCCAGCACTTGTGCAACCATGCTTTTTAAATGCATATGTGAAAAAGTTACTGTTTCTGCATAATCCATGTGATTATGATAAAAGATGATTGTGAGTTGGTTTCATTTTGGAAGGTGCATTTTGAATTAGCACTTGCAGGTACAGGTTAATTGATATGCACCCTCTGAGCCCGAGGCGAGTAGCCTTTAGCAGGTTTCACAGCGTGTTGACTGTTACTCGATTAGTGAGGATGCTGAGGTATAGCATTGAGTGCTGGTTTAGGAAGGCAAGATACAAGTTTATGTAATTTTGTGTTACTATTTTGTCTGACAAGCAACCTAAAAGGAAAAAGGAACAGACCTCTCGAAAACAAAACTCGAGAAAAATGGGCTTGAACAGAATAAAATATATTTTTTTGTTGATTAGCTTCAAAGAGAAAATGCGTAGAGAAAAAGCAGACCTTAGAGCTGTTTTTCAAAAAAGTCCAGGTGGTAACCAGAAAAGGATTAGTATGGCTTAAAAATAGGAGCAGGAATCCATGCTGAACTAGGGGAAGAATGGGTAAAGGAGAACTTCAAATAACCCCCCTATGTTCAAATCCACAGGTCCCATTGGCTGGCATCCTAGAGTACTTAATGAATTGGCCGAAGTCATCACAGAACCGCTAGATATCATTTTTGGGAACTCGTGGAGGACTGATGAGGTGCCTGAAGACTGGAAAAGGGCATATTTAGGAACTTCTTTCAAAAAGGGAAATGGATGATGACCCTGGAAACACTCATCAGCTTAAATTTTGTTTGGAAAAATTCTGGAATAATCAGTACACTGGGTAACTAACCTACAAATAGCTAGACATGAGGCAGTGAAAGATCACACATTAAGAAGTGCCAAGTTCATTTGTAAAGGACACATCATTGTGAGATACAGTCTTATGCATATTTTGGAATCTTCCCTCTATTCTATGAGCTCTTGATGAAAATAAATTAGTTTGGCTAAGGTTTTGGGGAATTAATTTTAAGTGTAACACTAGACAAGAAGCAGGTTTCTGGCATTCGCTAGTAATTACATCATTTTGAAATTAACCTGTAACTTGAGAATAGTAGCTTTAATTTTGTATTTTAACATACTCCCCCCCCCCCCCATTTTATATAGGACCATGTTTTTATAGGTTAGGATGCTTATAAATTCTATATAGGATAGTTTGGTGAAGGAATTCTTATTTTAAGGTACTTTCTATGGTCATTTCATATATAGAGGTACATTTATAAAGCTGACTAATTAAGGCACATCACCAAAGGAAGCCGATGTTTTCTAACTTTTAAAAAAATTTTTAACCTGGCTGAAGTTCAGATTTAGGGCCAATAGACTGCCCTACTCTGACACTCACTGAGCAAGACCAGCTCTGGCCTTGGTGGCTGGTTCTCTTCATTCAGTGGACACTGCCACGACCGGTGCCTTGTCTCACCTCACCCTGCGCCCCCGGGGTCTGACCTCAGGTCTGTGGGGGCAAGGAGGTGGGAGTTAAGAACCCTGTCTGCAGCCAAGATGGAGAGCAGGATGAGGTGGGAGGAGGAAATTAAGATGGCTCTGGGTGTTGTTGTTTTTTTTTATTCCTTTTGTTCTTGCCTTTGGATATTGGCAGTTTTATTTTCCACGTTGGTAGGACCAATAATTTAAAAAAGATATAGACATGCAACAAGCTCTCAAGTCAGGCAGCTCTTGAGAGGAGCTGAGCAGAACCTTCCTACTGAAAAGTGAGATGCAGGTTTGCAGCAGGGTGGTGATGCTCCAGAGCTGGAAACACGCAAAGGGAAAGAAACCTACATTCATTTCTTCCTGGTATGCATCTGGTCCCGAGGAATGGGGTGGGCAGGGAAGGGAGATTCCATCACAGTACTGCTTTAAAAAATAGAAGGTTTACATGGTCTAGCTACTTCTAGAGATTAATTTAGATACTAGATAAATTCAGTCTCATTCTTCACTACAAATTTCAGGAAATTAAGCTCTAAATGTATGTCCAAATTTTCTTTTAAACATACATAGCTTGCAGTTTTATAAGAATTATACTCCAAACTTCAGTCATTGTTCTTCAAGTGAACTAGAGTCTTTAAGATTAACAAGCTATTTTTAAAAATTGATTTTAGAGAGAGAAGAAAGGAAAGGGTGGGGGGGAGAGAAAGAGAGAGAGAAATATCAATTTGAGAGAAGAACATCTATCATTGGCTTCCCACACACACCCCGACCTGGGATCAAACCTGCAACCTGGGTGTGTGCCCTGACCAGGAATTGAACTGGTGACCTTTTGGTGCTTGGGACTACTTGCACTGGCCAGGGCAACAAGCTATACTTCAAAAGGAGTGTGTCAGGGGATCTCTGCAGGTCACAGATATAATTTATTATGATAATAAATGGCTTCCTGTTGGAGACCTCATTTCCAGGTGCAGCACCTGTGGCGGATTTATTTCACAGACATACATTTACATGCGTTTGCTGAACTGATGCTAAAAAGGGCCCTAATTTTTGAAAAATCTATTGTTTTCACTGTGGGCATTATGGTCCAACGTAATGCAACCAAAAATGGGACTTTTCAAGTTTTTGTTTTTGTTTTTCTTCTATTTGTGTGATGTCCAACCTCACTTATCTTGACAAATTTAAGTCTTCTCTGTGTGTTTGCTATTAGAGTTTGAAAATAACAGTCCTCTACCTAATTTAAGACTCACAACTTAGAACGTGAAATAGCTGATAGATTTTAAAGATTGTTTTTTACCTAAAACCAGAGGAAGAAGACTTTAAGCAGAGCAGTATTTCATTAATTCCTTTGCATTAAATCAAGATGAGGTAAGAGAAGGTCAAAGAAGGGTAGTCACCTTGCCATGAATTGTATCTGGCAATAATTGCTCTTAGGAGGAGTTATTCTCCCCTCCCACCACCAGTGTTTTTCTTTTAAATTTAACATTTATGATGCCCTTAAATTTTTTTTATGTAAAAAAAGTAGCTGAGGGACAAGTGTTATCAAAACTAAAGGGTTATCTTAATTTATTTTTTCCTAGAACATCAAGGGAGATTAATTACTGACTTTTACATCATAATACTGAGGAATTTGGAGGAGTATGGCAAAGTTCACTTCAAGTTCATTTTAGAACCAAGTTTGTTGGGGGAGGGAAGAAAGATTTTATTCAGAAAGATTTTTTTCTTGGTCTAGGGAATGCATAGTTACCAAAGGACTTTTCAGCAGTGTAGAATAGATGCACTCAAGCAGTTTCTCAGTCCAGGGAGATGCATAGCACCCTGGTGTTGTGAAAGCAACAAGAACAGTAAGAATTGGGTTTTTACTTTGGAATTCCTCAGGTCTTAGTTCAAAGTCAAGATCACATTCATAGCTGTTTTGTCTGTGGTGGATCCAAGAACATAAACTGTAGATAGCAAGGAATGATCTTGAACAATTATTAAATTCATCACAGCCTTTTATGCTTGTCCGTAAAATGGGAAAAATAAATACATCCTGTAGAGCTTAAGAGGCTTAAAGTTCTGCAGCCTACACTCACACAGTCCTTTGCTCAGCTTGTAGCACATGGTAGGTGCTGAGTGCCTCTCTCTCTTTCCTTCTTTGCTACCAGTTACCTTAAAACGGACCAGAAAACTCAAATATAAATTGACCTGTAATTATTGCTGCCTCAAACCCCCTGGATAAGGCCCCTTTGCTTTCTTTTAGGAGGATAAAAGAAAAAGTTACAGTGGCCCTTCACAGTAGGAGTTTTGTAAATGTTTACTGATTGTATGAAAGAATTCATGCGGCCCGCCCTTGTCAAGTCTGGGAGATAGTCACATAGACACATATGAAAGTATTTAGCTAATCTTCCTCTTTTTAAAACAGCTTTAGACTTATAAGTCTGGTGTGCAAATTAGTGAATAGTAGATATGCATTTCCCTGTGATTTTTTGTGACTTGATTTACAAATTAGGGGTGCAAAGGGGAAGCCCCCAATCACTGCTTCTGGCTAAAGTCAGTCAAGATATGAAGCAGATGATGATAAACAGCAAACGCTTCTATGTGAAGAGAAACCAGATGTGCCAGGGCCTGGGAAGCACCTGCCAGAAACCGAGATGGTTCTCTCGTGAGAGTCTCACTGCCGGAAACAGGTCCCTTGCCTGGGTGCTGAGGAAGAACAAAAGGAGAGATTCAAGAACATTACATTTTGGACAGAATATTTGGTTTATGTAACTTTGTACCAGTAATACTTGATTAGGTGCCATAACACCATGTTGGTGGAAGAGTTCTGAATTTCAAAGTAAATAAAAAAGGAATAAAGAGTAGCATATAATATCCAGAGAGATACACAGAAATGAGCTAAGCCTGACCTTACATCACCAGTTCTCCATTCAGACCAAGGGCCAAGTAACAGGGAATCCTTAGGAGAGATTAGCTGACACCCTGTGCTTAGAATAGAGCCATGTAGTTGCTGTATTAAATGACACAAAATAGATTTTGCAGAGCAGAGCAAATCAACTAGGCTTTCTTTCTCTTTTAGAATTTCTAATTTTACTCTATGCAGCCTCAATGATCATCAATTAGACATTCCTACACAGATATTTTACACTGTTCAGATTCTTTGATTATAAAATCCCATTCAGCTTTATATTTACTTCTAAGGAGAAAAAAAATCAAATAACTTTCTACTCCATGATCATTATAGTAGATATTTCCTTAAAAGAAAAAAAAAAGTAGTTTAGAAACATGAACAACGTAACATTTTCAGTTATTAAAATAGATGTTTCTTTTAAATGTTTTTAATTCCTGAAAATAAATATTTATTTGTTGTTGTTAAAAGATAACTTTTAGAGGAAAATGGGGGGTTAAATTTTACATGTGTGAGCTGGGTGGTATTTTTTTTTTTGACAAGTTGACCAGCATTTCTTTCATTGGAACAAAAAGAAGTCACTTTTTAAGCATCACTTAAGATGACAAATGTTTTTTCTCGATGTATTCTGTAACATGACAAATTTTCCCTTATTATTTCAAAAATGAAATGCTGTATTGCATGTGTTATGGGCAAGGTAGTATTTGATTGGGACAAATGTTAGGAATTCTACTGTTCATTGCAGTTGTCACCCTGTCCCCTAAGCTTGACAGTATTTAAGATCCTTTTTGGGTTTGTAAAACCATTATTCCTTGAGCATTTCTGCCTATACAGAAATGTGTGCATGGCCCTGTATAACCAACACGTGTACATCCAAGTAGCCCAGCACAGAGTCATTCCTAGTGAAAACTGCAGGTTTGATTTTGTAAATGCAATTACAATGGACCCTCCCGCCCCCCTTCGGTTATTGTTTTGAAAAGGATTGTATGAGAAGGCACTCTGAAAAGCCTAATTGGAACAGCATTATGGACCATGCAATGTGTGCCCGTGCAGCCCTGTGACTGGCAAACATGTTCATTCTTCAATAAATGTTACGGCGTTCACAGCGGTTCCACCTTGGCCTCTTTTGTGATCGTTTACATTGGATGAATGGGGTACAGCCTGTGCGTTGTTTAAGTGGATGATATATAAATGTTTACAGCTCTGTAGCATTATGGTTAGCCTGGGAAATTAAGGTTCTAACTCAAAAGAAAGGAAAATACAAGACTTCCCACACTGCTTGCAGAATCCAAATAAATCATTATGATGTGTACTTAGATGCTTTTATGTGATGGTTACATATGTATATGTTGTGGCTTTCTCCCTCTTCCCTCCACCCCACTTCCGACTAAAAGAGTACCTGAGGGTGATATCGATAGTATGAGATTCTGTACCAGTAATCCTGGCCCACCACAGTGGGTGTGTGTGTGTGTGTGTGTGGATATACTAGTACTAGTATTAGGTGGTAGGCAGGGTCATAGGCGGAGTTTCTCCACATGCAGTGCTGCTGTGGTTCCTCAGCCCCCGATTCTCCATCTCAGGAGTCATTAGATCCAGGGTCTACTAGAGTCAGTCCCAGCCTTACCACTTTCTGGCTTTAGGACCTTCAGCAAAAGGAATAATTATTATAAATGCTTAGTAAAATAATTAGCACTTGATAAGCAGCCCAAAAACATTACTTTTAAAGAAGTTTTATATGCCAAAACCAGTTTGGCTCAGTGGATAGAGCATCTGCCTGCAGACTGATAGGTCTCAGGTTCAATTCCTGTCAAAGGCATATACCTTGGTTGCAGGCACATCCCCAGTGGGGGGTGTGCAGGAGGCAGCTGATTGATGTCTCTCTCTCATTGATGTTTCTAACTATTATCCCTCTACCTTCTTCTGTAAAAAATTAATAAAATATATTCTAAAAAAAAGTTCTATATTAGTGTTTTGGGTGATGTAAAAATGGCATTGTGATATGTTTCAGTGATTATGAATGGCTGATTTTATTCCCACTAAAGACGAGAGGAAAGTACATTTAAAGCAAGGAAATGTAGAATAAGTATTATAAAGAAATATGCAAAAATTTGAATTTTAGAAATGAAAAGGGACCTGAGAATAAGCACATCTGACTCAGAAAGTAAGTAGGTAAGGTACCAAGGAGCCAAGAGATTGTGACATGTTCACGATAATATTTTTGTCCGATATCAGATCCTAGAAAGTATACCTAAAGGTATCTGTGGCATCTTCAAAAAACCCATATCTTCTAGGCTGGCCTTGATTTCACCTTAGATCCATGATTTTCCTAGATGTAGTGTTAGAACACTTTTGCTCATAAACAAAAGCCCCCAGCAACTGCAGGGCTCTGCTGGAGCTAAAAACCCAATCTTTCAGCTCTAAAAGCTTAGGCTTCAAGTCTTCCTTGATCTGCAAAAAAATGGGCTGAGGACATGAAGAGACACTTCTCCAAAGAAGTCATATAGATGGTCAATAGACAAATGAAAAGATATTCCCTATCACCAATCATCAGAGAAATGCAAATCAGAACCAGGATGAGATACCACCTCACACCAGTCAGAATGGCTGTTATAGAAAAGACAAGAACTAAGTGTTGATCAGGATATGGAGAAAAGGGAATCTTTGTGCACCGCTGGTGGAACTGCTACTATGGGGAGCAGTATGGAGATTCCTAAAAGAACTAAAAGTAGAACTACCATACCACCCAGCAATTCCACTCCTGGGTATATATTTAAAGAGAATGAAAAACACTAATTTGTAAAGACTATATGTTCCTGTGTTCCTATATTCATTTCACCATTATTTATAATAGCCATGATATGGAAGCAACTCGTGTCCATCAATAAATGGATGAAGAAGATGTGGTGCATACATACAAAAGAATACTACTCAGCAACAACAACATAAAAGAAATCTTGCTATTTGCAACAACATGGATGGGTCTAGACGATATGCTAAATGAAATAAGACAGAGGAAGACAAATACTATTTGGTTTAATTTATATTAAACCAAGAAACTAATGAACAAACAAAACAAAACAAAACAGACTCATATCAAAGATTAAACTCATGGTTCCCAAAGGAAAGGGTTTGGAGGATGGGTGCTAACGGTGAATATAGGAAGTAACATTGTGACAAGTTGGCATGGTAACAGATGATTAATAGACAGTGTGATGATCACATTGTATGGTATATAAATGTCAAATCATTATATTGTACAGCTGAAACTAATATAATATTGTATACCAACTATATTTGAATAAAAAAGTCTTAAAGTCTTCCTTGATCTGTCAAGCATATTTAGAAAAGTTAGTGATTGGTGGGTAGTACTAAAATGTGTTTGTTTTTTCTAATCCTCGCTGGAGGATATGTTTTTATTAATTTTAAAGAGAGGAAGGGGTGGGGGGAGAGAGAGAGAGAGACAGACAGACAGACAGACAGACACTGATGTGAGAAACATAGATTTGTTGCTTCCCATATGTGCCTCTACTGGGGATGGAATACAAGCTTTTGATATAAGGGATGATGCTCCAACCAGCTGAGCCACCCGGCCAGGGCTGAAATGTATTTTTTAAAATGGTGAAATGCAATGAATGCAGTAGAGACTCCAGCTAAGGAGTGTTAGTGTGATAAAGAATAGGATGATAAAAGATCATTAGTAAAATCACATAAGGCAGCTTTTGAAAAGTCTTTCATCTGAACCTGGCAAATGAATACCTTCTAGTCTCATTCCAGGCCATATGCTTTCCCACTGAGGATTTTTTTAATTTAAAAGAGGAATCTTGAACAAGTTTAAATGAAAAAATTACTCTTCCCTCTTCTAGCGTTACTCTGAGGACAGAGTGCATTCATGTAATTATGGACACTTTTTTGGCCAACCTCCTCTACTTTAAAATATATCCATGTATCTTTAACAGGATGTCTGTGGAATCTCATCTGTTTCTCGTTTGAATAAAGAGTGCCGATTGTGAATTGTATATATTCAGTGTGCTTTTTTTTTTTTTAAACATCCATTGTGCTCAATTTAACCTTATTTTAGAAATTAATCTACATAAGAGCATTTGCAAAAATAACCATTTTGAGTGAAGAATATGCATTTGACTTTTTCTAAATCTTGACTTCTCAATCAGAAGCCCTGAATCCAGCCTTGGTTTTCCTGGTGAGTAGCTAAGCCACTTTTGTTTTACACCTTTACTCTCTCCTCTATAAAAGTGTCCAGAGAACAGCAGGACCGAACACACCCTGGGAAACAGGCAGTATTTGGAGAACCTCATGTTGTTTAGAAGTAAGTCAGTGACATTGTCTAGTTTTTGTACTGTGACCTGCAGGAAACTATGAATCCACATGGTTTGTCCCTCCTCCCCACTGGTATTGGTTCCCACATGTCTTCTATGGTTCCTTGTATATTTTCTGACACTTTGTGGGGGCTCAATAATACAAGGTGAGGCAAAAGTAGATGTACAGTTGTGAGTATGCAAAACACAGTTTTTTCTTATATTATTATTTATTGTGATATTTTCCACATGAGTAACTATAAACCTATCTTTGGTTCACCTTGAATGAAGGATTGGATAGAAGTTCTCACACACCGAAGGAGCCTACACGCTGAAAGCGGCAGAGTGGGCTCTTCCAGGTCATTTCCTGGTTTCAGGGGACGTGCAGGACCGCTGTGACCTTGTGGAGGAGAGAGCAGGCCTTTCACCCCAAGACCCGGGAAACCAAGCTTTTCTTTATCAGAAGTTCACATTGGGGTGTGGTTTTCTTTGTTACTTAGGTACTCTCTGCTGTTTTCTTTTATATAAAGCCATAAATGTAAATAATTTATAAGATAAATTTACATATTCCTTTAGGTTTTCTTTGGCATAAATGTATTGAACATTGTAATTTGTGAAGGCACACCAAAATACTCAAATGACACACTATTTGAATTGCGATTTTGTTTTGGTCATATTTTCTTAATATGAATTGTAAGAGGCATACCATCTATTCCTGTGATAAAGTTAAGAAAAGATCAATCTATTTCTGCAATTAAAACTAATCAAGTTGTGATTAATGTATTTATCACATAGATGCTAGCATATGGGGTACTGTTAGATGAAATTCAAAGATATTTTGAAAGCCTGACGTATACAAACATTAACTTCCCTCTTAGATTGTATTTTACACAAACTTCCTTTTAGATATATTAAAGTAAATATGTGACCCCGGATTTTGTCCCTGGAAATAATTACTTCTTTCCTGAAGTTTATTTCTACCTTCTAGCAATAGAAAGGCAAAAAAAAAAAAAAAAAAAAGTAGAGTAGTTAAAAAATAAAATTTGTTCAGACCCAGGTTTGAATCCCACAGAGCTGCTGAGAATTATAGTTGCTTGACCTAAGAGGAAACTTGCAACTGTACAGTGATTATATGATTTTCATCTCCTGATGTGTGTGAATTATGTGGATAAGAGGGAAGAACATTTAAGTTTAGGAGCAACAAAAACCTGGATGCAATCTCAGCACCCCACACCTGGCTGAGTGAGTGACTCTAGGCTGGTTACAAAATTCTTTGTTTTGCCACCTGAAAATTCAGGTTAATAATACCCTCTCCCAGAGGTCTTGTGGGAACTGAACAAAATAACATGTAAGATAACCCTAGAGGAGGAGCTTGTGTTGGAGGAACAGGAGTTCTTACTACATATCAATTAGGCAGCATTGGTAGGTAGGGATAAAATGTGAAGAGAGATTTGTGACTCATGAACTAAAATTGTTTTCAAGATATGTTAAGAAAAAAAAGCTTACATTATTGAATTGATTCTAGAACAACACTAAAAAGTATATCCATACATGGCAAGCACTGTTGAAAGCACATTACATGTATTTAATCTTCACAACAACCCTGCGAGGCAGGTGTGGTCATTGTGCTCATTCCACAGATAAGGACACTGAGGGAAAGACAGATTTTTGGTAATTTACCCCAAGCCACACAACTAGTCACCAGAAAAGCTGGAATTTGAATCTCAGCAGTATGTCTTTTAATAGTCTTGTTAACCTTTATATTTTATGGGGGCAAATTGAACACAGGACCAAA